ACAATGTTGGAGCAGATGTCCTCTGGATGCCAAGGAGGCTCACAGTTGTCCTGTTGCTCAGGCCTGCTTCATCTTACTGATTTTCTGTCAAATATTTATGAAGAAAGAGGAACTGAAACTTCCACTTAAAACTGTGAGTTCAAGAGCTTAATGATACATGCATAGGCAATGGCTTTCTGAGAAATTCCCAGCATCCTGGGAAATCACAGCAAGGCCTGACAAATAGTTACAGCAAAGCAGAAACATGCCCAACAAAGAAGAGTCGACAGAGTGAAGAGACAGCTAGCCTGGAGATGAATCTCTTCCAGCTACACATCAGACCAGGAGATCTCTACCTCTATACCCACGACAGGGGAGACCTCCTTCTCTTTCTGAAAGATTAATAAATAAAGATCCAATAAACAATTGGAAAAATGAATTTCTCATTCTTAAAAGAAATACATTGGCCGAAAATATATTGAAAACATCTCTAAGTTTGGTCATTTGATCATGTACCATGGTTCTTGGACGTTGTTTTATTTGAAGTCTGAATGTTGCAGTTACTCAATCCTGTCTTCCAGGCCTGCTATTTATTCTGCCTCATCAAATTCAGCAGTCATGGTTTCCACTGCTCTTTAAGTTGTCTTCTCTTTTCTGTTTGGTGTTTTTCAAGCTGTTTCCTTGACTTTCTCTTCCATGCTGCTGTGTTCATTTATCTGTCTTGACTCCCTTACTTTCCTTGTTCATCTGTCTCCCTCACCTTTGAAGCTGTTATTTTTAGAAGCTGACTTTTGAATTCCTTTCCCTGCACGCAACCATTTCAGTATCACTGGATTCACTGATGGAAGATTTATCATCTCTCAGAAGCATCAAGTTTGTCTTGCTTGTTCATATTTCTGTGCGTGTTTTTGTGTTGCGATTTGCCTATCTGTTGTGTTTTGGCTATCTTTTCTGGATTTATTTGGGTATCTTCTTCATAAGCGACTGACTGCTGACTGTGGAGACATCACTATCCAGAGCCACTCCCAAGGGAAAACGTTGCTTGGCATGACACCAATACTAAACTGCTAAGATCTAGAAACACACTCAAAATTGAAAACTAAAACAAAGCATTAGCCAATATATAACCAAAGGCTCAAAAGAGAAACATGGCAAGACATAATGGACTATGTTAAGAAGTTAAAATTTGGGGCAAATATAGAAATAGTAACTGAAGGAAATAGAGGGAGCAGAGAAAGGAAAGCAGGAAGCAGAAGCAGAGAAGGAACATACCAGGCTTCCACCAATTCATTCTCTCAGTCTTGACTGTGGTTTTGACTAGGAGCTTAAAGTTTCTGCCTGGACTTCCCTGTAATAATGCATTCTAACTTGGACTTGCAAGCTAAAATAGACCATTTCTCTCCTAACTTGTGCGTCAGGAGATTTTTTTTTTTTTTTTTTTTTTTTGGAAGCAATAGAAACTAAGGCTGCAATTGGTACTGAGGAAAGTGGAGTCTTTGCTGTGACCTGACCACATGGCTTTTAAAGGCTTTTGCAGCTGTTTGGGAGAAGAGTGTGGAAGTGTATGGCATGTTGGACTGGAAAAACAAACAAATAAACCAAAACGACTGAATGCAGGAAGCAGAGCTCAATGGTACCTCTGAGGGAGCTTGAAAGACAATAATGTTGAAGAAAACATGAACAGCAGAGGTCTGGCTTACAATGTCTCAGAGGAAGACACAGTCTCCATCAGTCTTTGGGGGGGAGGTGCATCTGTGTGGTATTTCCACCAAGTCTGGCTTCATTCTGCTTGTGTCCTGAGAACACGAAAGAAGCTGAATCTAAGCATAACACACTCGTTTGTTGGCAGAGGCAATTTCAAGGCAGGACAATGCTTGAGCTGGTGCTGAAGCAGCAACTGTAACTGACAAAAGATCGGCATCAGCATCCTGCACTGCCCTGGAGGAAGAACAGTGTTTCTTCAGGGTTCGCACAGCCTATCAGCTGTGGTCCAAAGAGGTAGGCTGTATCTCAAACTGGTAGTACACCCTTACAGTGCTGTGTCATCTGAAAGATACTGGCTCTGAATGTAAAGATGCAAGTCTGAGGAAGTCAGGGAGAACAACTGAGACCAGGCACCCTGTGGTAGGTGTGGGGAGGCCCTGGGAAGCCACTGCCTGAAGCTGTGTAGGTGAAGCCTCAGCTACAATGGAGACTCCAGGTTATTGGAGATGTCCACCAAAAAGAGCTGCGGGTGTTAAGTGGGGCGTGCCTGCACCTGGGAGAGAAGCCCTGTGTGCTGAGAAAGCTGAGATGGAGTAGTGGGGCTCCCCATGCCCTGTGGAGGCCAGAGTATTGTGACCAGGCCCAGGTGCGGGCACTGGAGCTGCTGGTTTGGGCTTTGCTTTGATGTTACTGTCCTTGCAATTCCCCCTTTCCTTTTGAAACACCAATGTTTGCATACAACTTTTTATTTTATAGCTCAGATAAGAAACTTTGGAATTGTTAAAGACTTTGAGGACTTTAAAAGTTGGATTATATTAGTTTGAAAAAATAAAACATGAGACTCTGGAGAAAGAGGCTGGAAGGTTATGTGAAGTGTTAGGTTGGCAAGGGGTGGAGCTGTCATGGTTAGTTTTAACTTAACACAAACTACAATCACTGGGAAGAGCATCAATGTGGTATTGCTCCATTGCCTCAGTTGATGGGGAACCGGCTTTGAAGGTGGGCGGCACCACTGAGCAGTTTGGGTCTTGGACAGTGTGAAAGTGGAGAAAGCCAGCTGAGCATCAGGCTCTCCTCTTGACTGGATGCGGCCGCGGCCTCAAGCTCCTGCCGCCTTGACCTCACAGTGATGGAGCACAACTGTGAACTAAAATGTGCCCTTTCTCCCTGTGTTGCTTTGTCAGGTATTCTATCACAGCAACAAAATTGAAGAGTTAGAGTCCTTGTTCTAGAACTGGCCTGCTATTTTCAGCGGTGTTTAACATGCTCAATTGACTCTGATTTTATGTAAATGAGGAGGCTAAAGTGTGAACACACACATATTTTTATAAAAATGAGGCTAATATGTTAACACATACCTATTTTTATGTAAATGAGGATGCTAAAGAGTTAACACATACATATTTTGGAAGAGAAAACTTGACAGCTGATGCTGTAAGCGTACCTCACTGTCATCAGACTGCTCGACCCACTGTGACATGGAAAAAATGAGGTTAGGGTGCTTTCAGTCTGACCTGACTCCAATGTAAGTGTCCTACCACAGGAACAGAATGTGAACTAGAAATAGATGAGACACTAGCAAACAGGAGAAAGTGGAAGACTGTCAAGCCAGGAAGGATGAAGAAACCATGTGGGTTGCAGAGCTGTTACTGAAGGAAACTCAATCCTCCTGGAGTCCTTTAGAGTTAAGTAGAGAACACACATGACACTGTTTACCTTACGACAAGCACATGTGCTCACTATGTTATATCAGGTCCCCAAGAGCTGAAACGCTGCCAAGTGCACACTCTCTCTCTCTCTCAGGTCTGCCTGTATATCCCAGGGGCAGCACCAGGGCAAATGGACCTACAGACACCCAATGGACACACAGCAGCGTGCTGTCTGGGTACACTGGGAGCAGCCGGGATACAGAGTGGCTGATGGACATGCCTGCTACATTTCAGACACAGTCCTACTGTGTCACCCTGTGGCCTTAGAAGCCACCGACATCCCAAACAGGCTGCATTGTGACCACTGCTCTAGCTCTTTCATCTGTGAGGCTGAGTTCTTTCCCCGGGAAAGTGTCAGCCTGCCCAGCACCCTCAGGTTCACTCTGCTGCTTTGGAGACTGCTGACATAGATCATTTTTACTTTGAAAGCTGGTAAGTAGGGGACACTGGGATCAAGTGAACTGCCCTTCTCACACGAGGATGAATGTTGGTAGGATTGTAAACTTGAAATGTTTAAGCACCTGTACAGCTGTTCATATGCAAATGGCCTGGTTTTGGAACACTAAGCACTGGCTGAAACCTGTGTCTTCACACACTCCCCTGGCCAGCAAGGTTCTGGCCAGACAGCACTCTGCAGACTGACCTTCTGCTCTGGTGTCAACTCCCCAACTCTCCTCACAGCCAGTGCCTGTGCCAACTAGCAGGGCTATTATCTGCTTGCTCTGGGCCTTGTCAGTTGGCAGGAGGGAGGAAATACTAATTACCAAGAAAGATCTCAGACATTTCCAAGCTAAATTTAAGATCGCCTTCCTTCAGCACTATGACTTACTGCTACCTCTGCTCTATGTGCAGGAAAGATGGCTCTGTAAACTACTGGAGCCTGGCAATACAGTCACAAGTCACCTGAGATAGCTCGTTCCCGAGCAGCAGCTCATGATCTCCTCAGGCAGATGAGCACTGAAGCCTCTGTCCCATTATCCTCACACTCATGACACACCATGCTCAGCACAAGATCCCTTCACTCCATTTACAGGCTCAGTTACTCGACGACTCCATCTAACTCACCAACCCTGATAAGGACACTCTGGGGCCAGTCTAGTGAGCTATTAAAAACAGGAGCCATCCATTCAAGTTAGACCTTGTACCGGCAGCTTCAGCTGGCGTTACCGCCCTTCTTCTCAGCGCTACCCTTCGCAAGTCCTCACTTCCTCAAGAGTTAAACATTTTGCTATTATTTCCCAGGATTAAATAAAATGGTAATTTAAAAATATTTCCAAATGATTTTTAAAAGTTGTATTTCCAAAGATGATTTAGAAAAGAGGCAATAAAATCAAAGAAAACAGGAACTATGTAACTCAGAGTCACAGGTGAGATAGTTTTTTGTTTTTGTTTTTGTTTTTTTTTTTTTTTTTAATTAAATTCTAGGGGAGGAAGCAGAGGAAAAGGAGGGGGAATTTGACCTAAACACATTATAGGCATGTATAAAATTCCCAAATAATAAAAAGTTTTCAAACTTAAAAAAAAAAAATCTGTGAGACAAGGACACTTGCAATGTGCCCACAGTAAGACAAAGATATGAAATATCTAGAAACAGTTTTAGATGAACAGTTTAAGAATTCAATTAAATATTTATTGAACAAATGCAGGATAAATGAACCAGGGCTGTTTTAACCTGAAGATACATTAACCACCTCAAATCTTCAAGGGCTGTCATACAAGAACAAAAATAGACGCATTCGGCATTTCTACACAGGATCGCAAGGCGCAGCAAAGGGGCTGCACGGCCACCCCCCAGCTCAGGAGGTGCCTCAGCACACACTGCACGCCATGCCCCCTTCTGAAAGGAGGCCTCAGAACTTAAGGGTGCCACTTGGACACACAAGCTGCATTCCCACTGCACACTGTCCTCCTCATGCAATGGATGCTGCACATCCTGGGAAAAGAAAGGTGGCATCGACAGCTCCTCCCAGGAGACGCTCCACCACGCCTCGGCTCTTTCTCATTCTACATCAGTGATTCCTTGTACTGGGGTGGGAAGAAAGAGCACACTTTCCAGAGTGTGAGTGACAATGTCGGTTGGGCGCTGCCCTGGGACACATCACTCCAGCTGGGGGCCAGCAGCACATGGGAGTACGGCGTGTGCCACAGCAGCCTCCCTGCTACTTGGAGCAGGACAGCTTGTGTCCGGAGTCCAGTCGTTGACAGAAACTAGCTGCATAATACTGATGGCTCCAAGCAAGGTGATCAATACAAATGAGAACTGCTCCAAGGACATTCAACAGTGTCTGAGGAGAAAGCTGTACAATGCGCTTCATCTTCTATGTGCATTTTATCACACCCAAAGGACACCGAGGCGCTCACCCTGTTCAGTGAATTCAGAATAAAACTCCACATCTGTTTGCCAGTGACAGGGACTGAAGGTGGATGTTGAACTCAGAGCGATCTATCAGTTTTCCAGGAAAGCCACATAGTCGGTAAGCCTGGCGAGCTGCTGCTCGTTGGGGATTGGCGGAAGTGGGGCAGGCTCTGCATGATAAAGAGGGACACGTACTGGAAGTTAGCAGCCTGTGGCAGAGCACCCACCCTGACACCAGGGGTCAAACAAGTTCACTTCCTTAGTGCTACCTGGTTTTAGACAAAAGTCATGCCTGCCAGAGGCCTGGACATTTCGGAACAGTAGGAAAGAAGTCTCGATTTTACCAGCCTGGTTGTCTCAGGTGGTCACAGACATGCTAGGATCCCTGCTGTTGCCTCAGCAGGCCATGTAAAGATGCAAACACGTCTGGTGTGTGGTATCTCTTGCAGAGCACAGCTCTGCTTGGATCCTACTTGTAGGACTCGGGTAAAGAATAGTTCCAAAGGGGATCTCATGTGCCTGGTCCCACCAGACACTGCCCACAAGTGGCAGCAGCACACGTAAGGATACACTCTCAGGGCTGTCAAGGCCTTCTAAATACTTTCTAGAATGCCAAGAGGCCCTGGCATGAGGGCAGGTAGGCTCTGTGGCTGGGCTATCAGGTGCCACCACTCCAGCTGAGCTACAGGGGAGCCTACAGTTTCCTTGTAGCCACCTGTATCCACTACACATTTACAGAATTTATCTCTACACAGTACTACAGAAAATACAGAAGCAAATGATGCAACACTTAAAACAGCCACGTGAAAACATGTACCTGACAAGGGAATAAACCTGTTCAAGGAAGCATCCAGGGCTCCTGAGGCTAAACAAAAAAGAAAAAGACAGTTACAACCAACAGAAGTCATCTCAAGACTGTAATGGCTCACCCCCTCAGCGAACAGTAGGTTCTCAAATGGAGATATGAACGTGCCCCACTTTAGACACTTTATTTGTTCAGTCTTCCTTCCTACAAGCATGGGACTGAGCACTGACATTTGTTGAAATAATAGGTGCCCAGTGGGGGTGAAGGAAAGTAGAGCTGATGCAGGAGGATCGTGATGAGGGCAGGAAACCTGGCTCTAAAGATGCTGAGAAAAGAACACTCCTGTACCCAGGCAGAGGAGGCACACAGAAGTGAACATGGCCCTCCCCTGAGGCTGAGATGAAGGGGCAGGGATGCAGACTGGAATAAGGGGCAGAGCAGGGACCAACGGGAAAAGAAGGCTGGAGTGACTAACCGAGTCAGTCACAGAACAGGGCAACCTTCAATGCCACTCTGCTCTCATGTCATTTGTTCAGTGCTTCAGTGTCACCTGTCTGAGGTCCCACCCACCTGGCTTCCTGGGAAGAACCATTCTTGTGGTGGAGTCAGCCTGCCATCCTTGCTCCAATACACCTGAAAGTGCAGAGTTCACACACAGATGAGAGACGAACACAGTGCTGGCATGACCCACACCCGCACTCTACTGCTCTAGATGCTCAGGTACCGTGTATTTACTAGAAAGGTTACTACAGATTGCATAAACTTATTTCCGAAACGTTTTGAAATACACAAAAGCCTCACCTTACTCTCTGGGGCTAATGTGATCACTAGGAGATGCTTAGTCTTCTGTAGTAACCTAAGTAGCCTAATCCCAAACAGACAGAAGAAACTTCTATGATGCCCGTCGTAGTGCTCCATTGGTAATAACGACAGCAGGTGCATGAGCCCCTGGGCTTAACGACCCATACCAAAAACATCTGCCCACAAAACAAACCACTACCACCCATACCACACCTTCCAGCACCCGCTGTCTTGTGAGCCTGAAATTGTTCAACATTCAAGGGCTCCCATTTTAGTTGGAGAATCAAGAATGTCAACCAACTGCAAAACAATGTACCAAGCATATGCAGTGTTCTGCCACTGGGCTAGGAGTCACAACAGGTACAGGACTGTCTTTTTGAGTAGGTAAAGGTTTCTTAACCTGGGCAATTAGGTCAACTGAGAAGTGCTTTCTTAAGCACCTGCGCAGGTTCCACACAGCTGCCACAGGGCTACTCCTCTGCTCGATTACTGGTGCTAGATGCAGGTGCTGGTGAGGTGTGTTTTGTACCACTTCCTAAAATAAAACCCACCATCTCAACTGAAATATCCAGAGTTCCAGAGGAGTAAGAGTAAACCTACTATTTACGTGCTTTCTGTCCCCCTGTAAATAAGCAGCAAGCTCCAGGTACCTTTCACAGCCTCTTCCACAGGAAGCCCGACAAAGGCTGCAAAGTCATCTGCAACTATGGAGGTATAAGCTTGAGAGACCAGGGCAAAGGCGCGTCTCCTCGTCGCATCTATTGGGGAAGGGACCGTTGGTGACAGGAACCAAGAGAACAGGACTCTAAAACACAGATCTGTTATCCAGTCCTTATTTACAGGCAAAACCAGACCCATCCAAGTAGGACAACACATGCCCAGAAGGTATGAGGGCCCTGGACTCCAAGCAAATGCACATTCATCACATCAGATGGTGACAAAAGCTAGAGCTAGAAAGCAACACCCACAAGACCCCAATCGTAACCTTACCCCCCAGTACCTGTTCCTAACTTCCAAGTGTACACCTACACCCCAAGCCTGATGGTGACCTTCAAGAGTAGGTGCTGCCAGGTCCCCGCTCAAGAACTCTCCCTGGACACAGCCTTTCACCATTTCCCCATACACCTATGCTAAGAAAATTCCAGAAAGAGACAATTGCTCATCCAAACCAGCCAGTCTTCCTGTACAGTGTGTCCATCCAGAAGGCTGCCAATCTGCTTAAGAAATATTCAGATTTTTATGGTCCACAGCTGAGGACTGGACATATAAAATCAAACCCTTAGCATACTGAAAACTCCCCTCTGCTCTGTCAACCAGCCAGTGCAGGTCCCTCAGGCACTTTCTGTTCCTGACTAGTCCAGTCCCTTAGCCCAGACTAAATTCACATTACACTCCTGGGCTCTGGGTCCCACTGCTCAATTGTCTGGAACACAACCCTTGCAGTATTCCTGTCAATGTGGGCTGTCAGTACCACCGGAACCAAAATAGGGCATGACTTACTCACAGGTCTCAAAAACTGCAGACACAACACACCTGGAAATGGCTCAGCGGGCAAAGGCATTTGCTATCCAACTGTGGGGACCTGAGTTTGTCCCCCAGAACCCATGTAAAGGTGGAAGGAGAGACCCCTCTGACCCCCACATGCACACCATGGTATGTGCACTCCCACACACAGGAACAACATGCTGACACTAAGTTACACTCCTTCATTTCCCACTGAGCCTGATGCCACTCCTCCTCCTCTGCAGTCTGTGCACTTTCCCCTCGCTTGAGTCTACCAGCCTCCAGCAGACTTTCAGAACGTCTCAGAGGTGCAGACCTTTCCCTGCAAGGGCAAAGACATTTGACGGAAAAGAACCAAGGCAGCAAAGGAACACACAAGCAGCAAGAACTGTGCACCATAAACCTTTCCCACCATTTACAAGCACTATCATTAGTTCAAATACTCTGATCAGATTTTTGGAGTGGAGATAGAGAGAAGCCAAACATGCACGGAAGAGAAAGCAGCAGGTTTGCGGACAGGCAGAAGAGGTCTACCAAGAATGGAAGAACACAGAGAGGTGCAGAAGTAGGCTGAAAATGCACGCAGAAATAAAGGCTCTGCGTTCTAGTGCTAGTCGGCAGCCACACACTTGCTCCCAAACTTGCTCTAGCTGACACCCCTCCACAGCTCTACAATAAGTCCTGTTCTACAGTCCAGGAATACTGGCTCCTCATCCCACTCCCAGGCTTTGGGTGAAGAGACTGGCTGCTTAAATAACCACTCCCTCAGTGCTTTGCCAGTCCTTTTTGGCTTCCTGTAACAAACAGCTCTTCCACCAGGCTCTTCAGCCAAGATGTCTCTGATTTCTTAACAGGACCAAGTGGCTCAGACAGACCTGAAGTTGCTATAGTTTGAATATACTCTGTGCCCCTTGGTCCCAAGCTAGTGATGCTGTTTGGGAAAGTTGTGGGGCCTTTTAACAGGTGAGGCTGTGGTTGTTCTGAACTAGAAAACAAGTTTATAGTATGTCAAAACGTGAAACATCAAAAACAGCAATTCTAACCTGTTCTGAGACTGCCCTTGCCTGGCTGGCATTTTACAGAGGAAAACATGGTATGTATCATTTAAGGTCTGGGGATTTAAGTCTCAAGAAAATCTTCATGGGTAGAATAGAACAGTTGTCTCAGGTCATGACCAGTGTTTTCAAGTCAACTCAATTTTGTCTTTTAACAAGGAAATGAAGCCAGCAGGTGGATGTGCCAGAGATCAAACTCCCGCATGCTACACTAGATGGCCTGAGTGTGTGGACTGGAAACAACTCTTAATTTCACAGAGAATCTAGTGCAAGGCAGTACCAGGAAGAAGAACACACACACATACACTTACTGGCTGAGTTATGAGGCCTTACCCAAACAGAAAAGGACAGCATGGGCTACATAGCAACATCCTGTCACCACCTTTTTGTCACCACAAAAATAATGAACAGTATAAAAGATTAAGTGCCAATGGAATAACTCCAATCTGGAATCAACAGTGACACCCTCTGCTCCTGTATCCCCAATAATGAGATAAAGAATCACAATTAGCACAGATCTAGCTCGTCTGAAAAGAATCCTACAAATCACAAATGTTTATACTCTTGACAGTATACACTGGCACAGCACAGCACTACAGCTCCAAGGATTCCGCGGACAGTGCAACAAGCCTTTAACCACAAGAAAACACTACCTCTAAGGGCTTCCATGATTGGCTGTACAGTCTCTGACCACTGGTGGGCGTTGATGGTGGTATAGATCCCAGGGAAATCTCTCTGCCAGATTCGCTGTCCTACTGACCAGATTCCCCCAAGTTCAGAGTTTGCCTGCAATAAATATTGTTACCTTTGAAGGTATTTATTCTGTAAGTAATAAGGACTGTATCTTCAAACAAAATATCAGAAATTATACAAATTTTTTTTTTTAGCTGTTATCACTAAAACACACACTACTGATTTTAGGAACTGCAATTACTTTTCTAACAGGTATGTCCAAGCTGCAGCCCACAGGCCAAGGGCAGGTATGACCTGTGAAACCCTTTTCTTTTTTGGAACTTGCATGCCCAGTTCTAGACTATGAACTCTGCAGATAGCATTGTTTTGCAATGTCCAAAGGTTGGATTTGTCTGATTCTAAAATGCTATGAGCAGTAATGTCAACATTTTATATAATTAATGGCTTTACTGCAATTATAAATGAAAGCATGAGAAAGTAAAATAATTCAGAACAAAGTCTTGCGATCAATTATCTTAAGCACTGCTGTTTAAATTTAAGATGCTGGCATTTATTTACAGTACAAATTATCAGAAAGCTGGTTAACAAGGCACTGTCAATTACAGAGCTGACATGCAGAGTTCCCATCTGTGTCAGCTCAGCTGTTCCGAGTTCACATCATATGCAGCTCCTGCCTCTTGTCTTATAAACAGACGTTCAGGGGAAGGAAGAAAACTGAAACAAAATCTTAATTCATTCTATCTGAGAAGAAACTTTCCCAGGTTATTTCATTTACTCTCCATTCCAAGTCAGATACCTAGCTAACAAGTGATCTTAGGCAGTGCATATCCATGAGAACTGCTGAAAATCTCTGCCCTCAGCCACCACCTGCATCTCACTGGCCAGCCCACACCTGCAAGGTTCGGAGCCTTAACTTTTCTGTTGTCTTATCAGTCAATGCCAGTATTCTAAAAGCAACAAAGGACACTGTAGGAGTACTTACAGACTTTATAGCAGGTGGTATCCTCTTCCAAAGATATCTTGCATTATTCCTATTTATAAAGAGATCAAAAACAAAAACAAAAAAAAACAAAAATCATCTCAGTTAATACATGAAACGACCAGGTTCTAATGTAAACACACGGAAAAACACCCACCAATACTGTTCATAGTAATTTGGTTTTACAGGAATTTGCCGAGGAAAGCAGTTTTCCAGGAAAAAAAAAAAAAGAACATGAAATAATCTTTTTTTTAAGGTAATATTTTTCATTTTTTGCTGAATTTTTTAAATTAACAATCCAGATCCTGTTCTACAGCAAAACATTTAAACAATACAATTGCCTGAAAACCACCCAGACATAAACAACGTATCCACCTAAAGGCTTTGAGTGTCCCTGCAACGTGCGTGTCCACAGTACTGCTATAATTAGGAGCCATTCTCCTAGCGGGCACAGAGCTTAAAGGGTTGGAACAGTCATAAGACACATGATCACAAAACAGAAATAACTTATATATGTAAACTGAGAAAGCTTAGTTTAGTTTCCCACAAAGGGTTTAGAACTGCACCAGGTTTCCATTCTCTAGCACACTCCCGCTTTCCGCTTCCCACTCAGGAAGACTAACTAAAACATGTTGAGTGCCTCCTGGCTCTACCAAGGTTCCCTTCCAGCCTCAGTTTCCCATCTACTGGGCACATATAAGTTTTTTGTTTTGTTTTTTGAGACAGGGTTTCTCTAAGTAGCCCTGGCTCTACTGGAACTCACTCTGTAGACCAGGCTGACTTTGAACTTCGAGAAACACTTGGCTCTGCCTCTCAAGTGTGGGAACTAAATAATAATAATAATAATAATAGTTTTTTTTAGACAAAAAAGGACAGATCAATGGTTCATGACACTAATTTCTCACAAGAACGTGTCATGCTTTTTAGGTATATGTAAAACAGACAACAAAGAAGCTTAATTAATATTTTGACTGAACAGGAAACAGATATAACAGGATTATGATAAGACACCTGTGTGTGTACTTCTCAAGGAAGTGGCTCCTTTTGGATTTAGGTAAAAGGTACTACTTACATGTCATTCTGGAGCAAATACAAGGCCAGAAGCTGACCATACACTGGCGGTGTGGCAATTCCTCCAGGAGCCTACAGGGACAAAAAGAGGAGAAAAACCTCATTTCCTAACACAGTTTAAGGAAAGAGAAAATTCAAACCTAAAAAGTAAGTTTTTCAGCTGGGCATGGCGGCGCGCACATGTAATCCCAGCACTCAGAGAGGCAGAGGCAGGCGGATCTCTGTGAGTTCAAGGCAAGCCTGCTCTACAAAGTGAGTCCTGGACAGCCAAGGCTACACAGAGAAACCCTGTGTCGGAAGAGAAAAAAGAAAAGTAAGTTTTCTAGCACTACTACAGATGTAGAAAAGGATTCAATTTCTTTACATAAACACAAATATTTAAGTGATATCGCTTCGAAAGGCCGAAAATTTAAAAAAAAAAAAAAAGGGAAAAAAAGCAAGAAATACTTCTAAGAGGTTCTTAATGGACTGTGTCCCTGCCCATTATTAAGAAGGTTATCAAGGTACGCTAAAAACAGAAAACTACCAGTAGAGGCTTGCTGTCCCTCCTCCACCTTAATCCACTCAGCGAAGGTCTGCTGAATGCTCACCGGCAAGCTGACGGCGTCTCCTCTAGTCGGTTATCTTTCTTTTCTTTTTTTCTGTTTTGTGTGTTTTTGTTTCTTTTGTCGGTTTGGTTTTACGTAGCCCAGTCTGCCTTGAACTCATGGGCAATCCTCCTGCCTCCGCCACACGTGTGCCCCTGGGGTTCCTGAGCCACCGCCCCTAGCCTAGCTAATGGGCTTTGTAACCTTAACATTATAAACGCAGGCGTCTCCCGACGCGGCCGGCGCGGCGCCCCGAGGGTGCGCTCCCAGCAGGCCGCGGCCCGGCCCGTGACCCTGGAAACGGCGCCCACCCGCCGCCCCACCCGGCCGCGCCACCTCCAGCTCCTGGTTCTCGCACTGATCCAGCAGCTTCCTGAAACTGAAGGCGCTGTCCGCCATCACCGCCACTGGCATCTTCCCGGCCGCTCTCGTCGCCACCGCCCCTGCCAGACCAAAGCCCGAGCTGGCCCTCGGGGCGTCGCGCCCGCGATGACGTACTCAGCTCGCTCAGCACACATGCGCGAGCGTGTCGTCACTTCCGGGCGACACTGTGGCGGAGGGGGAAAACAAGCAGGGCGGCGAGCGCTCTAGCCCGCCGTCTCAGTGCTCTGGAGGACCCGCCCTAGCCTTGACCGCTCCGATTGGGAGGGGCTCGGCTGAGACTTGGATGCTCTGCACACACCCACGGCGCTTTTTTCATACCCACAGTGGCAGTGGACTATAGCAAAACCTTTGTACCTACGCGTGTTTTCAGAACGCTGAACTGTACTTCACTTAAGCTAAGGTGGTTCAAGTGGAGGAAATTCCAAACCTGAAACTCTACTTGGCTTGGGCTATACACACAACCCTCTTCTAACAATTCACCTGGCGGCTCACAGGGGCTATACGCGTGCGCGCGCAAACACACACACACACACACACACACACACACACACACACACACACACACCTTTTCTGAAAATCATCTTGTAACAGTCAGCAGCCCAGGACCCTTGTACACATCCTGCATGGAGCTGCAGGCACACCCTCTCTAAGTAACCAAGTAAGGGGATAAGTTTCTTCTCCCCCTACTGACCATCGATTCTATTCACTGATACTCCAGGTATGTGTGGTATGGGGGCCAGAGGTCTGATACGGCCTAAAACTTTTTAGGTGCCTACCCAGTAAGATAAACCGTGTGTTCTAAGTGCTGGGAGAATGTCCTATTTTACCATCTTATCCCTCTGCATAATTGTGAGTTCATATGATTGAAATCACAGGCATGTGATTAAAATGGGAAGGGACATACACAACAGAAAAAGGGGCAGCATAGTTGAAATCTGTCAACCCAAACTGCAATGCCCCTGAGCACCAGAATCCTCTTGAACGCCATAAAAAGCCTCCCAACAGTAACTGAGGCTCTGGAGTAGCTGGCCAACGGTCACTCTTGACACTGTGTTTCTTTCTGATCTGTAATACTGCTTTGCTTTTGCATAAGGTTTCCTTGCTACTTTGCAGATCTGTGTGCCCGAATTTCAGTTCTGTGCATGAGAGGTAAAAGCACCCAGTCCAGACCCTGACCACCAAAACCAGTAGCCCCAGAATTCTGTAGGGTTCCCTGGACACAGTAAGCAATGGCATGAGCACCAACTTCCCCTTTGCTGTCTTCTCAGGCAGCAGTGGTGACGGAATCACAGGCCTCGTGCATGGTAGTTAGTCCTAACACTGAGCTGTACTCCTAGCTCTCCTTTTACTTATCCAGAGTCGGGGTCTTACTAAGTTGCCCAGGCTGGCCTTGAACTTGTGAAGAAGCGTCAAGCCTAACTCTTACCTCCCTCTCCACCTGCCTCCTGATCAGCCCCTCCGTCTCAGCAGACTGCAGCACCATGCGGCCACCCATGTGCACCTCCTGCACACACACCTTATAGAACGGTGAAGTCTCTCTAGCCTGGGCCACTGATGTGCCTGACCTCTGCCAGTCTCCTATAAGCAAGCACTCCTTGACTCTTCCTGGCCCAGTGAATGTTCTTTGACTCATAAACCATATCTTTTTGTTCTTCTGCCCAAACAAATGTTCCCAGAAAAGAAGGTACACCTTACAGACTAATTGACTAATTAGTGCTTCAGAAATTGGGAAGAGGTTGGAAGATTGCAGGTTCAGAGTATAATTATACTTTATCTTTGGCTAGCTTCAGTTCCTTTGACAGCTAGTCCTTGCCTACTTGTGTTTGGCCTAACAGCCCCCTGACTATCAAGAGAACCCTTTTAAAATGATATTAACTTTATGGAGTGCTAGCCCCTGGGAATTGTAAACAGTAGGCTTACTTAATTATGCCATGACTTGATTCCCTTTTAGGGACTTGGAGGCTTGCTGACCCTGTGGCATGGTGTTCCTAGGAAGTTTTAAGTTTGAGGTATGGCAGGAAAGTGGGTTCAAGACTAGCATATAAAAGAAAGGAGAGTGGGAACCCCTTTCCCACCAAGGCTGACATGCAGCAGAGTCTGGGCAAAAAGAGTGTATTTACTGTATAAATGTTCGAGTTTGCAGTCAGGCACACTGAGCCTTTGACCTTTCTCCAGCTCTGCCTCTGCTTCAACTCTCAGAAGTGCATCTTTGCCTTACTAAACTCCCTCTTCTTCTGTTTCGATCCACATTTTTCTGTCTAGATCCTTGTTTAAGGAACATAGAACCTGGAAATCTCTGTGGGTGCCAATCCTATGCCGTATTTGTCTATAACAAAGGTGCACTGTGAACGCTTTATGGGATGTCAGTGGGCATCTTATGACATAGATCCCCTCAGCTCATGTGTGTGCTGTTGTCCTAACAGATTTCACGGGTAAAACCCACATTTTAGATAGACATAATAAACAGTTTAAGATGGTAACAGCCATCACTGATGACGTAATACCATGAAGATATCTGTTTAGGTTTAGAAATAATTGTGTTTAATGTTCAGGTTAGAATTAAAGATTAGGGCCTGGAGAGATGCGTAAGCAGTTAAAAGCACATGCTTTTCTTGCAAAGAACCTGAGTTTAGTTCCTCCACCCACTTCAGGAAGCACACAAAGCAACTCCCTGTAACTCCAGCTCTGAAATCCAATACCTCTGAACTCCAAGAGGACACACACACTAATAATAACAATAATAATAATAAATAGAATGTAAATATTTTAAAACAGTTTTTAAAAGTCCACATGTACTTGCCATTGGGTTATAATTTTTATCTTTAATAGTCCGCAGAGGGTCCATGTATTGGCTTAGGCCTCACCTTGGCACTCTTGGGGGCTGCTGGAAGCTTTAAGAGGTAGGACCTAGTGGTGGGGCCTTGGGGAGCATTTCTTTCAAGAGGACGGTGGGACATCAGCCCCTTCCCACTTCTCTGTTTCACTCCTGGCCATGAGGGAAGTTGCATTGCTCTGTCACAAGATCCCATGAGCTTCCTGAGGCCAGAAGCCCTGAAGCGGCTTGGGCCAGAAACCGAAAGACTAGGAGCCCAGATGTGCCTTCTCTGTGTGAGATGTTTATCTCAGCCGTTGACTGTAGTGACGGAGGGCACACGGGCATGCAGCGCCATCTAGGATAGCAGCGAAGGCCCTTGCTGAGGGATGTGGAGGAACAAGGCCTCAGGGTTTATCAACAGCCAGAGTGAAGAGCCGGGGTCCAGTGCCGTGATTCAGAGGTCATTTACATAAAGCTGAGGACCAGCATTTAAAAGGTCAGTATGTGATGATGAGCCCTCAGGCTGTCTGAGGCTATGAGGGCAGTGTGGGCTCCTCAGGACGGGGGTCTGGACTTTGTAGCGATGGCCCTAAGTCTTTCCATGTAAGCTGTCCCTACCTTCTCAGGCTCTTTTCACAGGGAGGAGGTGTGGCCATGAGGAGGCTAGACAGCTCATCAGGGTAGTTGATTCGGAGCTCTACACTTTATACCGCTTGATTTATTTCAGAAGTCATTTGCTTCATTCCAGAGTCATTTAAAACGTAGAAGACCCTGAAAGAAGTGCCCTGACGGGCTTGGGTTCCCTCTAGAGCGGCAGTTCTCAACCTCCCTAATGCCGTGACCTTTTTAATACAGCTCCTCATGTTACAGTGACTCCAACGACACAATTATTTTCATTGATACTTCATACATGCTACTGTTATGAATCATAAGGTAAGTATCTGACATTCCCAATGGTCTTAGGCAACCCCGCAGGAAAGGGCTGACTAACCCCCAAAAGGGTCATGGCCCACAGGTTGAGAATATTCCATGCTATCAATTCACCCCGACCAGCAAGGCTAAGTCTCTGAGGATTGAAGAAAATACCAAAGATATGAACAAAGGGATCAGCGGGGATCAACCCATTTGAACTCAAGAGCAGTGAAAATAAAGCATTTTCTTTTTCGTTTTATTACTAAAGCAAGCCAAACATGAGGTGATCTCTACAGTTAACTTAAGCAAACACAACACGCACAGTGAGGGAGTACACCTGGTGATATGAATATTATCTTTGGTCCTGTGAAAGAGCCAAGAATGTTCTCCCAGGCCTTTGCCTTTCCCACAGAGATAATGCGGACATGCCGGGGCAATTCATTCATGTCCTTGCTTTCAAGTGCATCCACTTATCACAGTTTGTGGAATTCTTTCCAGAAGGCCACCTTGTGGGAAGAGCACTCCTCATGCCGCCCCATCCACAGTGCACAGTGAGTTCACAGCTTTCTCCCACAGGCTCCCATTCCATACCAGCTGTCTATTTGCTTCAGGACCCGAGTTGCCTCAGCTGGCCCTGATGCCACATATAAGATGTGATCTCAAAGGAAACCAGAAGAAACAGTCAATGAGTGGCTGGCTGCCTGCCACAGGTCTTCTGTCCCCTCTGTCCACAGGTGACTCCATGTGTCAACCAGCAGACACCAGGAAGCAGGGATGTCCAGGCTGGAAATTTGAGGATCAAAGGAAAGAAGCATTAACAGAGGTGTAGGCAAGATGCTGAAAAACTATAGAGGATACACCCCAGAACTGTTTAGATTTTGACATCATGACCACCCTAAACTGTGCATGGGGGTGGTCTGCCCCTGGGAGGGGAGAAGATGGCACCCCAGGAACTGTCTCCAGTGAAATGATGATCATTCATGACAACTATTTCTAAGAAAACTTAGCGCAGAGAAATGATCCCAAAGGCATAGAGCCAAGAAGAAGAAACATTGAAGAAACTCCACCAAAACGTGACAAGAAGCATGACTGGTATTTAAAGCATGAGCTATATGTATGTCAAAAATTAGGAGTTCTGTCTCCCTTTGCCTCTCAGACAAGGGATTTGGAATCTCCCTAGAGAGACTGGATACGACTCTAAACTCAATAGGCAGTCTTTCAGGTCAATATGAGAGTTTGGAAGCTCTCTTACTCCCCTAATTATTTTTTTCATTAGGTAAAGGAAGGGAGAGAGGGAAGGAGGGAGGGAGGGAGGAGGGAGGGAGAGAAGAGAGAGAGAGAACAAGAGAACTTTGGGTTTTCCATATCCCACCT